GGGGGTCGCGGCATTAAAAAGGTTGAGAACCACTGCCCTAGGAGAAGCAGCGTTTCCACTTTTGCATGAATGAAAAATGAACTGCTTCTTTGCACACCTGCGTGCCCTTTCCAAAAATCAAAGCGATGTCCGGGATGTTTCCACACAAACAGCTGGTCGCAAGTAAAGTACTGTGGTGTGTGGATAGGGGTCTTGGGAGACGGCGGGCGGTTTAATTCCAGGCACACGTAGTTCAGGGCAGGGACTGGGGAAATAGAGGAGAGGGTCCTCTGACAGGCCAAAAGACAGGGGACTGGATTGGTGGGACGGGCTCCCCTGGATTTCATCGAGGGAAGGAGGGCAGAGAATCCAACTTTGCCTCATTCAGCCTCCGCAGTTGCTGTTTTGTCTGAAACCGCCAAATAACCCAAGAATTCCCGCCTCGTTTTTGGAGCACGGTGATTTAATTCTGGTTTCAAAACAAAGCTCCCTCTTGTTTTGGGACCAGGCCTTCCCCCCCCCCCCCCCGCAAAGGAAATGTGCCCTCCCTCCTTCTCTTCTGTTTCGTTTCTCCTTCCCTCCCTCCCTCTTTCTTCTATGTATCCTTCCTTCCTTGTATCTTTCTTTTCCTTCCTTCCTCCCTTTCTTTTACTTCATTCCTTCTTCCCCCCTCCCTCTTTCTTCTATCTATGTAACTTTTCTTTTGTTCCTTCCTTCCTTGTAACTTTTCCTTCCTTCCTTGTATCTTTTTCTTCCTTCCTTCCTTCCTTCCTTCCTTCCTTCCTTCCTTCCTCCCTTTCTTTTGCTTCATTCCTTCTTCCCTCTCCCTCTTTCTTCTATGTAACCTTCCTTTTGTTCCTTCCTTCCTTGTATCTTTTTCTTCCTTCCTTCCTTCCTTCCTCCCTTTCTTTTGCTTCATTCCTTCTTCCCTCTCCCTCTTTCTTCTATCTATGTAACTTTTCTTTTGTTCCTTCCTTCCTTGTATCTTTTTCTTCCTTCCTTGTATCTTTTTCTTCCTTCCTTCCTTCCTTCCTTCCTCCCTTTCTTTTGCTTCATTCCTTCTTCCCCTCTCCCTCTTTCTTCTATGTATCCTTCCTTCCTTGTATCTTTCTTTTCCTTCCTTCCTTCCTCCCTTTCTTTTGCTTCATTCCTTCTTCCCCCCCTCCCTCTTTCTTCTATCTATGTAACTTTTCTTTTGTTCCTTCCTTCCTTGTATCTTTTCCTTCCTTCCTTCCTTCCTTCCTCCCTTTCTTTTGCTTCATTCCTTCTTCCCTCTCCCTCTTTCTTCTATCTATGTAACTTTTCTTTTGTTCCTTCCTTCCTTGTATCTTTTTCTTCCTTCCTTGTATCTTTTTCTTCCTTCCTTCCTTCCTTCCTTCCTTCCTTCCTTCCTTCCTCCCTTTCTTTTGCTTCATTCCTTCTTCCCTTCTCCCTCTTTCTTCTACCTATGTAACCTTCCTTTTGTTTGTTCCTTCCTTCCTTGTATCTTTTCCTTCCTTCCTTGTATCTTTCTTTTCCTTCCTTCCTTCCTTCCTCCCTTTCTTTTGTTTCATTCCTTCTTCCCCTCTCCCTCTTTCTTCTATCTATGTAACCTTCCTTTTGTTCCTTCCTTCCTTGTATCTTTTCCTTCCTTCCTTGTATCTTTTCCTTCCTTCCTTCCTTCCTTCCCTCCCTCCTGACACGTGGAAATTTAAGCCAAGGCAATGTCAGAGGCTTATGGTCAGATAAAGCACAACGTCATATAGCATAACCACGGTCAACAAAGCCATCGTCCCAAGGCAGCTCAGGTATCACCAGATCTTTTCCCAGAGCCCGGCATTCTTTCCTAAACTGCTTCTTTTGACTCCTGGGACCCTGACACGGCAGCTCCTCCAGCTTGTGCCCAACCAGGCTGCAAATGATTGTTTTGCTTTTCCACTCCCCAGCGTGACAAAGGAAAGTCAGCGCTCCTTTTGTCCTTCAAGACCGCAAAGGCTGCAAGAGGATCTCTTTTGCAGCTGATCTATCCCTCTCTGAGGGAAAGTTACTCCACCAGCCACTGGTTGCCAAACTGCGCCTTCCTGAATACACCCTGCCAGTGCAAAATGGAGCCTCTGGGGTTTCACGCTTACTTTCTCTTCTTTCCCTTCTTGTTTTTCTCCCTTCCCTGCCTCTTCCATTTTTTTAATGGACATTTCTAGATTAGGAACTGACATTTAGACCAAAGGATGTTGGTCTGGGGCTACCCTAGAAGATGGTTAATTTTGGTTTTTTATAATAATAATAATAATAATAATAATAATAATAATAATAATAATAATAATAATAATAATAATAATAATAATAATAATAATAATAATAATAATAATAATAATAATAATAATAATAATAATAAAGTTGGAAGGGACATTGGAGGTCATCTAGTCCAACCCCCTGCCCAGGCAGGAAACCCTATACCATTTCGGACAAATGGCTGTCCAGTCTCTTCTTAAAAACCTCCAGTGTTGGAGCATTCACCGCTTCTGGAGGCAGATTTTGGCTATCCAGAATGAGAGGTGACATGCAGGAGCTCAGCTGTAGGTTTATTCATTGATATTGTTTTGGATCGCATTTTGGATCACAAACAAATATTCGACCGTATTTAAGCCGGGTTTGGCCAAAACTCAGATACCAGGAGGGAGGGAAAAGTGTCTCGTTTTCTCTGGCAGAAGTTAAAAAACCCAGGGCCCAAATATCTGGAGACGAAGCACCATACAGCTCGTGTTTGCAAAGGAGAATTCCACTGTCTTTACGGCAGGATTAGAATAACCGTGATTCAAGAATAACGTTATTTTAATGTTTTGAAAATATCATTCGGGTGACTAAATAAATCTTTTTTAACCTGAACTAAATCTCATTTAATAAACTGAGTTTGGTACAAACTGAGAATTTCAGTTTGGGAGCAGATGCTTTTTTTGCTGCCCCAAATTGTATAATTGGATCTTAAACCCAAAGGCTTAAAACTCCCAATTTTTGTGCATGGAGAGGGTGGGGTCTTCTGAAGAGCATTAAATGGCAGTTGCTGGGGTCTAGTTATTATCCACCCTTGATCCAGGTGCTCTGTTATCTCCAAACTATTTTATCTTCCTTTCTTTGCTTCATCCCCTTCATCCCCTCTCTGGAGGTGGAGGGAAGCCGTTCAAAACGTTCAGGATGCTTCAGGAAAATGGAATGCATTTTTGGCAATATATTCTTGGTTAATTGAGTCTGGGGGAAAATTACTTCTGGATTTTTCATTGAAAGAGTACCTGGCCAGGTAAAAGGGAGGCACAGGTAGTCCTTGACTTACAACCACAGTTGGCAGAAGACTTTCCATTGCTAAGCAAAGTGGTTGCTAAGTGAGACACATCTGCTTTTACAACCTTTTTTGCCACAGTTGTTAAATGAAATATTGCAGTGTTAAGTGATCCCACCTTGCCCCATTGGCTTTGCCTGTCAGAAGCCAGCTGGGAAGATCATAAGTGGTGATCACATGGCCCCCAGCGATGCTGCAACCATTATAAATACCTGCCTGTTGCCAGGTGTTGAAATTTTTTATCACATAACCCTGGGGATGCTGCAACAATCTTAATTGCAAGAAACCTGTTGTAAGTCACTTTTTTCAATGCCGTTGTAACTTCAAACGGTTGCAAAATGAATGGCTGTAAGTCAAAATCTACCTGTATGTATCCTCTCTCTCTCTGTGTTTAGAAAAATAGCCCAGCTTTGTGGCTTGCGGTTAAAAAAGCCACCCCACCTGTGAAGTGCAGACTAAAAAAAAATGTGATTTAAGCTCTGAATTTTGCAGTCCAAATTTCAAGACTGGAGAAAAAAAAAGAAGCGATGCAGAGGATCGGAAGGAATCCTGGTGTGGCCAGGGGGACAGTTTTCAATTGTGCTTGTTACACACTATGTCCAGATGAACAGTCCCAAACGCTACCTTTAAAGTTGTGTCAAGGATTTCTGTTCATTTTTTTTATTTTGGGCAAGGAGATAGAAGCAAGTTGGGGTATTCGCAAAAGGAGTTCACAGATGTGAACTCCCTCAGTTTTTATTATAATCATATGGATTTTCTAATATTCTGAATTTCTTTAGCCATCTTGGATACTAATGCAGGGAGAAAGTCAGGCGTTGGCAATAAATAAGAATAAAGAAAGCCGCAGGAATTTTCATAACAAAGCACAATGACTGCACGATAAAGATCTTTTTGGGTCTTAAGAGGTACGGTAGGATAAATCTAAGAACTTGGGAATAACAGTGAGAAGACAAGTTTTTATTTTATTATTTTTTTTAAAAAAAGTAGGAAAAATGGTAGCATCTTGCACGACTCTTAAAAACCGGTCCCATGCATATGCGAAGGACTTTTACAGTACAATCCTATATGGATCTGTTGAGGTTCCATTGAGTTAGTCAGAGCATATTCTCTTCCAAATGTAAATGGTGTTGCAACTTAGCGCTAGTTCTGGAGGGCAGAGAATCCACCATTTTTATTTGTACATTTAATTTACGTGTCTTCCAGTTGTTTTGATATTTTCACTCAATATTTACATAACCTTTCTACTGGCTTTGTCTTCGTTTTCAGTTATTCTGTGAGAGTCTGGGGGTTGTTTTTTTTACATGCATACTTCTCACTTGCATACATACGTGGTATGCAGTATATGTATTTACATATATTTTTTGCCTGTGCATAATATTCATGTATGAAAATAAGAGTACTCCATCAGCAGAACGAAATGCATCTTTCTCAAGCAAAAGTTAAAAGTTAAAACAAAAAAACAAAAAAAAACCACCTCAGCACATTTCAACTGTTCTGGAGGAGATAGGAGAGAGAAGGATGGAAGAAGCTTGCCTTCCAAGGTTGTTTGCTGAATGTCTTTCTCTGTTTTAATAACCAGATATAAATACAGACATCCTCATGTTTATTAAAAAGACCTGATACCGTTGCGCTAGGAATGCATCCAGCACATAAAACATGAGCCTCAACGAAAACAAGGAAAAAAACATTTTCCCTGAAGGGGGAAGGAAAAAAAAAAAGATCCTTTCATTTCCTCTTAAATTTTGTGTTGCCTTTTTTTTGTTACTGTTGTTGGTTTCGTTTTTGTTTCTTCTTGGTTGAGTAGCATTTCTTTTATACAAGTGTATATATATTTTTTTTGTTTTTCTTTTTGTTTTACTGTTTTCTGCAGATTCTGGCCTCAGCAGTCCTCTCAGTGACCCTGAGCTTGACCTTGAAAGTTAGTTCCTGTGTGTTTTCGTTCCTCTCTGTTTCATTGGTTGTATATTCCTTTTCCATCCCCCAAAATTTTTTGGCTTATCTTCTGTTGCTGTTCCTGCCCTGGCATTTTTCCCCCCTTTCTTTCTTTCTTTTTTTCTTTCTTTCTTCCTTCCTTCCTTCCTTCCTTCCTTCCTTCCTTTCTTCCTTCCTTCCTTTCTTTCTTTCTTTCTTTCTTTCTTTCTTTCTCCGGGCTTCTGTGTCTTCTGCCATTCCCTGTCTGTCTCTTGCGCCATTTGTTTTTGTCTAATTGTGCTTCCAGTTTTACAGTTTTCAAGCCAAAAGGCCTTTTGCAAAACCACCCCGGCCAGATTTGTCTCTGAATCTTGGTGTGTGCTTATATGTGTCTATTAAAATACTATTAACGTCCTTGCTCATACGATTAGAGAAATAATCGATAGAATAATATTTCCCATTGATAAAAGTGGTTCAAGGGTGGAATTGTCTAGGACAGAGGGTCTTCAGACTTGGCCCTTTGATGACTTGTGGACTTCAACTCCCAGAATTCCTCAGCCAGAGTGCCTGAGGTAAATCAAACAGTATACAGGACACACAGAGGAAAAAAAGGCGGGAGGAAAAGGGAAACGCCCCCTTCATACCCACAGCAACCAATCAGAGTGTAGATTGCCTCACGCATGAGTCAGCACTCTCTAATTCAGGGGTCTTCAAACTTGGCCCGCCTGGCTGAGGAATTCTGGGAGTTGAAGTCCACAAGTCATAAAAGGGCCAAGTTTGAAGACCCCTGTCCTACGAAATTCAGCCTTCATCTTTATCAGCATGCTAGATTTAGATTTTGGAAGCCACACCCACTTGCTAGCCTTCCCTTCCCTACTTATTTCATGCACATTGGTTATGTTTACATAGCATTTTTAACCAGGACTGTTAAAGGTAGCAGTGGCGTTCACACAACATTGTAAAAAGTTGTATAATGTTAATCTTGGTTACTTTTGGGGGGGGCTGTGTGTGTGTGCGTGCGTGCGTGTGGTTTATCAAGTGATGCAAAGCTAGCCTGTTTATGGTTTCACGTATTCTGCAAAGCCAGCAAACAGGTTAGTTCAAAACTCGGCTGGAAGGATTACCATATGATAATGCAGCTCTTCATAGATACTTTACCTTCACCTGGAAAAGGAAAAAAAAATAGGCTTAGATTTATTTCTCTGAATTTGTATTGATCTGTAGGGATTCCCACTGCTGGAAAAAGTCAGGCATGGATGAAGAATATTAGATACAGTGCAAGGATTGGTGGATGGGTTCTGGATGATGATGATGATGATGATGATGATGATGATGATGATGATAATGTTGGAAGGGACCTTGGAGGTCATCTAGTCCTGCCTCAGGCAGGAAACCCTATACCATTTCGGACAAGTGGCTGTCCAGTCTCTTCTTAAAAACTTCCAGTTTTGGAGCATTCACCGCATCTGGAGGCAGATTGTTCCACTGGTTAATTGTTCTCACTCTTCTTGATGAATTTCCATCCGTTGCTTCTTGTCCTGCCTTCTGGCGCTTTGGAGAATAGCTTGACTGCCTCTTCTTTGGGGCAGCCCCTGAGATACTGGAAGACTGCTATCATGTCCCCCCCTCGTCCTTCTCTTCATTAAACTAGACCAGGGGTAGGCAACCTTGGCTCTTTTAAGACTCGTGGACTTCAACTCCCAGAATTCCTGACCCAGCATGGCTCAGCTTGGAAACCTCTCCATTTCTCCTCAGCATGGCTGCCTCAGGAATTCTGGGAGTTGAAGTCCACGAGTCATAAAAGAGCCAAGGTTGCCTACCCCTGGAACTAGACATACCCAATTCCAGCAACATAATGCTGGTTTGTTGCATGTGCCAGGCTGTTGCGGTTCAGTCTTGAAGCATCCTTCACCAAAGTCTTGCATGGAGGTAGGCATCTCTAAACACTCGATAAATAAATAAAATCATCTTTCTCTGCCCTCACAGAGTGTAAATTTCCTTTCACCAAAATTTTCACAATGACCATTGTTGGCCAGTGAGGAATTCTGGGAGTTGGAGTCACCACAATCTTCTAGACTTAGAATCAGGAGCAAAGTTCAGTCATGAAAGGGTTGCCAGTTAGAAGTCCTTGGTGCTCTCTGAGTTTTGTTGTTCTCATCACCACACTAGGTAACATCACCACTGCACAGCACTGTAGTGCTGTTGTGATCTTCTCTACAAGGGAGAGCGCAGATCTCCAGCCATGTGGTCTACTCAGGACCCAACAGGCAACAGGAGCTCTTGACATAATGTCTACCTTGAAAAGGAGATCAGGCCCATCCAGTTTTGGTCACCACGATGTAAAAAAGATGCTGAGACTCTAGAAAGAGTACAGAGAAGAGCAACAAAGATGATTAGGGGACTGGAGGCTAAAACATATAAGGAACGGTTGCTGGAATTGGGTGTGTCTAGTTTCATGAAGAGAAGGACGAGGGGGGACATGATAGCAGTCTTCCAATATCTCAGGGGCTGCCCCAAGGAAGAGGCAGTCAAGCTATTCTCCAAAGCACCTGAAGTCAGGACAAGAAGCAACGGGTGGAAACTAACCAAAGAGAGAAGCAACCTAGAACTAAGGAGAAACTTCCTGACAGTTAGAACAATTAATCAGTGGAACAACCTGCCTCCAGAAGCGGTGAATGCTCCAACACTGGAAGTTTTAAAGAAGAAACTGGACAGCCATGTGTCCGAAATGGTATAGGGTTTCCTCCCTGAGCAGGGGGTTGGACTAGATGACCTCCAAGGTCCCTTCCAACTTTATTGTTGTTGTTGTTGTTATTGTTGTTGTTGTTGTTGTTGTTATTATTATTATTATTATTATTATTATCCCTTTTGGGGTGGATGGGTAAATGATGGAAAGTAGGCTATAGCAACAAAGCCAGGAGGTTTTCAGGAATGGTACCGCTGTCAAACGCACAAGGGGGATACCTTCCTCATTTTGTAACCAGAAGAGTCAAAACCAACACCAGCAGTTATTTAAGGCATTTTGTGTTGTTGTTTTTTTTGTTTTTTGTTTTGCAAGTTTGCAAAACTGATGGAACCGGTACAGAGATCTCTCTGTGTGCTCCTAGGGTTTTATCTGTGGGATGCCCAAGAATAAGGATGTTGGAAGATCTTATGCTCCCTAGATCAGTGTTTCTCAACCTTGACAATTTTAAGGCATGTGGACTTCAACTCCCAGAATTCCACAGCCAGCATTGCTGGCTGTGGAATTCTGGGAGTTGAAGTCCACGTGCCTTAAAATTGTTAAGGTTGAGAAACACTGCCCTAGATAGTGATGGAATTAGAGGAAATGGATCAGGAAGGAGTTCTTTTCTGCTCATGCATTATTCTACATAAAAATAATATAGGCATCTTTGTACATCAACATGCTTTTTTTTAAAAAAAAGAAATTTTCCCAAACAGAAAACTCATATCGGGAGAGGTTTTTTTTATCAGGGAAAGAAACAGAACAATTTTCCCTTTTCTAGGTAGGCTTTGCAACAAATTGCTTTCCTGCGCAGCATCGCATTTGACATTTCTGTGATATATTAGGGACCTGATTTGTATATTATCCATCGTGGGAGAGAAAATTTTACTTATAAATAAGTAAAAGCAACTGAGCTAGCTCCATCAGAATGCTTCTCCCTAATCTAATAGCTTTGCCTGTCTATCTAGAACAAGAGCTCCTTGGCTTTTATTTGATACGGGGTTGTTTTAAAAAAATAAAGCATCTCGAACATAGACTGTTTGAAAGAAAAAAATATTTCACTTTTATCACTTGTCTGCCTGATTTAGCTTAAAGGCAAACTTGGCGTATAATCCTGTAAAGTAGTTAGATCCCTACGTTGTAAATATTTCCATTGCAGAAAGGCAATAGAAATTGAAAAAAGGGTCTCCCAGGATCATCTCACGAAATTGTACTGAAAGCTGTATTTCCAATAGAAGAGAATATTTATAGCTGTAGGTTCCCAATCAGCTTGGTGGTTTTCGGGCAGACGTTACATTATCCAGCTAGGTAATATCGTCAGCGCCAGGAGGGAGGGAGGCTGGCTCTCTGTTCATACACAGCGGGCTTGCCCTGATGATGTTACTTAGTCGGGTAATAAAATATCTGCAAGAAAACAACCAAGCTCAGAGACTATCAAGAATTTGTTTTCCAAATTCATAAGACTGGATGGCTTGAATGAATGAAAAGTGCTTTTATTATTCTCCCACCCACCCCCATCTCAGCTAATCTTACTTACACCATGGGCGCATAGCTCTGAAATTGGTGGGGGATGAGTTAAATTCCCCCTCCCAACACTTGCTCTACTTCTGAAAATGTTTCATATAGATTAGGGGTCTCCCAAGTTGGCCACTTTAAGACTTGTGGACTTCATTTCCCAGGATTCCTCAGCCAGCCATGCTGAGTTGAAGTCCGTAAGTCTTAAGGTTGGTTGGCTGAGGAATTCTGGGAGGTGAAATCCATAAGTCTTAAAAGTTGCCAGATTTTGGAGACTCTTGATATAGATTGAATGTACATCTTGCATTGACCGAATTAAGGGATTACAGCAGGGGTGTCAAATTGCCGGCCCACGGGCCGGATGCATCATAACAAAATTGCACCCACCCCATTGCCGACAATGGGAAAAAAGTCACTGTCGTGGTTCCGACAGATGGAACTCTTCAAAAAAACTTTGAGGCATTGTTTACCTTAAAGAATCTTTATTAGAGGAGCATAGCATCACATAATCGAAGCCAAAAACTGGATTCCCCTCCCCTGAGCACACAGTATCAAAGCACAATTCCCTCCTCCAATTAACTGTCATAAATCACATTCTCCAATTAGTTTGAAATGCAGGCTTTCCCTCCAGTCCTCCAGCCCAGCCAATTCTTATCATATCTTATTTCAATAACCTTGATTCTCACACTAGGTCCAGTATTGTTATGTCTAGCTGAATGTCTCATGCACATTCCTCCCCCCCAGCATCATCTAACTCTAGCTCTAAG